TAGACAGGGAAGGTCTTAACCAACTCAATAGATTGCAAACTGAGCTGACACATTCCCAGAGTAAAAACAATTACAAAGCTCGTGCAAACAACAGGTCTACTAACGTGGCATACGATGTACGAGAAACTTTTAAACTATATTTTAATAGTGAAATTGGCGCCATACCNTTCATAAAGGCACAGAATTTTCTAATGCCTTGTAGACCGATTCCGAGCAATGGCATGGCAATAACAATTCTCCGATTAATTTCGTATGCATTCTTGATAAATGGGGAATTCGGTATTTCAGTTTTGTCGCATTTTCCACAAGATATAATAATTTTGAATGCCAAGTCTCGTTTGCTGCTTTCAGTAAAATTCACGTTAGAATGGCACACTTTACACACCACAACGTTTGAAATAGCGGCAAAAACAGATACAAAGTTTACGAGATGATCACCGAACGTTGAAAAGCGTATTTAACCTCCTAAGTCCTAGGTGCCTACGCAAAGCACAAAATGGCGTTCTTATTTGAGTCCTGGGTATTGCGAGCTAGGTGATATCATTATGAAGGAAAACTTAATAGGTGGTGGCAATGCAACCTCGACCAAAATCCTCAAGGAAAAACCCCTCCGAAAAGGTAGAACTTCGAAAATGGATTGAAAATCTCACAATCTAACCAAACTTCTGTCTCGAAAATGTTGCAGAAAGGTTGCCAAAATTTACGCTCTTCAATTAAAACCTTAAATGAACACGAGGAAATTAGAAAAGGAAAAAAAAAAATATTACAAAAAAAGTAGAAAGGATGGAAAAATAAGATATAAAAAAAAATGATGATAATAATTTAATTAATTTGGTGGTAAAAGGATGTATGTTTGAATAAATGAAGGTATGTAGCATCCTTAAGGATCGGTCGACGGTGGCGCCACCTGTAGCATCCTTAAGGATCGAAGGTTGCTCCCCCTGCTCATTAAGGATCGAAGGATCGGTCGACGGTGACCCCCTTCAACCCCATCTTAGTGTCCTATTGACCCCCTTCAACCCCTTCAACCCCATCTTAGTGCCCTATTGACCCCGTCGACGTCGTATGCTTATCAGCGGAAGTTGCTCCCCCGTGAAATAATATTAATAATAATAATAATACTTACCTTAAAANCTCGTGCAAACAACAGGTCTACTAACGTGGCATACGATGTACGAGAAACTTTTAAACTATATTTTAATAGTGAACTTGGCGCTATACCACAACAATATACTATTTAAGACGGGAATTTAACATGTCAATTATATAAATACATTAGAAAACATTATATTAAACAGTGCGACTAGCTTAATAAATCGTAGTTTAATGTAAAATTAAAATCATCATACACTAATTGCTTTATATAAAAAAAATTTTACTTACTGCCTACATTTAATTCAGTTGCCACTTCTTCCCATAATTTTCGCGATTTGTCACGATTATGGTATCCTTTATATTTTTGGTCCCACAACACTCTTCTGTCGAACACCAGTAGGATTAATTTCTCATTATCCATGATATCCAAATATTATTTGAAATAATGCCAACTTGAATTTTAATATTAAAATGTGCAGTTCGCGCGAAAGAAACAAACCCATTTGAACTTCTAGCGACAAGTAGCGATTCGTGCGATTAATTCGCTTGTACTGTAACCATACACATTTTACTATATCGGTTTGTTTGTTCGCCCGAATTCGGACGTACACGCCCGAACTATGGTTCGCGCGAATTCGCTTGCACTGTAACCGTAGCCTAACTTCTGGTAGATTTGATGGTATGCTGCACGTGGGCAACAAGTTGCCCCGTAGTTGAACTGCCTGTGCGTGCACATTCGCCGTCTAGTGCACAGGGGGAGAATACACGTAGCCTGCACTTGCCGCTGAGATAGAACATTGGATCAAACCATTACAGGAGTACAAGGAGTCGAGCTTCTGTCGCCAATGGCAGTCCACACCAGTCTTTGTCGGAGGGATACCAGACAGCAGATTCAGCATCCTATGTATAAAAGACACCACCGGGCCTTGTTTCAGCCTTGCGGAGACAGTCCTAGAAAAATATAATATAATAGAAGCATTACTCCCCACTATTTTTTTCATTATGTTGATTTCAGCGCCATCTCACGGAATGAGTTACCCTAGTTTAGTTAATCCGCGAAATTTAAATACTTTTTAATTTGTTTTATTTATATTTGCTCAAAATTTTTATCAATAGTCATACTTTTAATTCGCTAAGAAATCTATTAGCTCGTCTTAAAAACTCCAGTCAATAAGAAGAATTTAAAGCTTCTTAACGAATTAAAAGTATTAACAGTGATAAAAATTGTGAACAATTGTATAATGTAGAGGTAAGGTTCAAAAATAAAACATATTTATTTATGTGTGCAGAAAACTCATTTATTTTTTTTTTTTAATATATGTTTCTAGCTTGCCTTCCCAATGAGTTGTTGGGTACAACAGTTTGCTTACCTTTTAAAATGTGATTAATTTAAAAAAAATTAAATAATATTAATTTGATAAAGTTATTTAAAATAAAGTCTATACTATCGTCTTTGTGACACAAAAATGTGAACGTCACATTTCTTTTAATTAATTCTTTAATGTACAATAATAAATAATTCCTTTGAAAATTGTGTTCTAGAACACTTCGAAACATTTTCATAAACGATTTAAAAGTGTTGGTGTACAAAATACCAACTTCGCAGAATCATATTCTTTGGCTACTAAAAATTTATTTTCAATATTATTTCTATTAGGGCTTCTATTCGCAATATGGGTTATGCAGAATTTACATTGATACTTCCTATTGCTTTACGTCCCACATAACCTGCAGCATATGAAAATATACTTATCTGATGTGAATTATTCAATTTTGTAGTCAGGGGAGGTAACTGATATTCTTCTTCCTCAAAAACATCACTCTACCTGCATTTATTTAAAAAAACTGTCGGTTTTAACAAATTTTTGGAATGATCTTCTCAATTTCCACCTGCCAAATGAGAAGGCAACATTTTTCTCACAAGAAGCGATTTAAATGCGTCTCCAAACCCTTGGCAGGTGGGATTAATGTTTCGACCCCTCATTTGCCTTATTTGACCAAACATATTTTCTAAAGGGTCTTAGTTTATTTGCCGTGGAATAAAAAAAGACATTCTCTTCCTCTCCACATAATATAGTATTGATAACATTCCCTTCAATGTAATTACCCAGTTCTTCAATGAGGGTGGTGTTGATCTTGATTTTTTTAGGTGGTCTTCAAACCACATGTTTTCCAGGTGTTTTATACTGTCTAAAAAAATGTATCAAGTTTGATATTACAATTTTCATTTTAATATACCAATCCAAAAGTTGCGGTGGTTGCTTGTTGATTTTGCCACCATTTTAAGTGGTTTCCCTTCTTTGTTGATTACTCCCATTACACCCACTAACGGAATCAAACAGATTGTCAAAGAATTATAGGATTTTAGCGGTAGCTCGCCTCTTTTGGCATTGTCACGCTACTATCGCTACTTATTTCATCTGCAAGTAGGTAAAAAAATACAGTGTAATGTATACTAAATAACTTATTTATAGTATTAACTTACTATAAATTACTTTACCCAATAATATCTAATTCAAAAGTATCTAATTGTATGTGGAAAAGAATCTTGGTCGTTAGTAGTATAGAAATGAGAGTTCTGGAATGGAAGTTAATCCCCCAATCCCCCTGTGACGTCTGCGCATGCGCGCAGGAAGTGGCGTATCATGTTGGTTGCCTGGCTCGTGGAGCGCCACCTAGTGGTGGATAGCGGAACTAACCTAGCGGTGGGTGGTGGAACTAACCCTATGTTGGTTGCCTACTTCATGGGACGCCACCTAGCGGTGGATGGTGGAAGTAGCGTCATGGGGCTCCACCTAGCGGTGGAACTCGCATGGTAGATAGACGACGCGCGCGGTGGATAGTTCATGTGGAAATTCATGTGACGTTATAGAATTCAGATACAATTAATATAAAAAAGGTTTCGGTGGTGTAACTTAACGGAATATACATAATACTTATTTGTTATAGGAATTGAACTGATAGCTGCAAGGAGAAATCTAGAAACTTTAAAGTCAATAAACCACCGAAACCTTTTCAGTTTAATGCAATTGAACAGAACAAAAATTAAAAAAACAAAAATAAATATTAATTTATTAATTAAAACATAAATTTAATAATACAATAAGATTAATAAACCTCCGCGATACGTTTTGGTAAAAATACGAATAAACCATCCTACAAATCAACAACTGATGGCCATGTAGATGATGTAATCCGCTTCACAGACGTAAATCACATATAATTTATTCACTTCTAATTCAGATATGTTCTTCTTCGGGGCAAATTGATACTGCTCTATAACTGATTTAAACGTGACATACTAGCTTGAGTTGCTTTATAACGTGAGCGAGCGGTGTGAGCAGTAGTAGAAGGTAACAACTGACTTCTATATGAAAATTTTAACCGTTTATACCATCGGGAACAACCTTGAAAAATGTTAGAATGTGTGTTGCACAACAACAACAATAACTTAAACGTTTATACGTAATTAGACGAATATAAAGTTGTTATACAATGCAAATAATATATTATGCATTTTATTTTCTCGAATCTTCGCCGCACCTTGATTTATTGACAGTGTATGCAAATAGAAATGCAAATGAAAATAGAAATTTAAAATGCAATAAAATAAAGTTGACTATAATACAATGTATGACGTGTTTTAACTGGAATAAATATGAAATCGGTTCGATTTAAGGAAGAGATTGAGATTTATGAAGTAGAGTGTGATGATGTACATAAAAGAGCAAGAAGTGGACGGGAATGGTTAGAGGCGGTAATTGATAGACAACGATTTCAAAGACGTATTAAAGAAATTGAACGAATTGTTGATAAAATATTGCGTGAAAAATTGTTAAAAATGAATGAATAAATAAAACTTAATAAAATATNTTCCCACATAATGGGAATATTGTATTCCCATTAACGCTGTCCAAGAGATTGTCAAGAAATTTGATTGCTTTTGCTGTCCCAATGGCAGATTTGTTTAAAAATATATCGCTGTATAGTCCTACAAACAATACCTTAGAATTAGGTTACTATAAAACACCATGGATAAAATGTATGTAATGAAATAAAAGTTATACTTTTCATGTACTACACGTAATAACAATAGCACATTACCTGTTTTTGCCATAACATTTATATTGGCAGCTAACTAATAATTGAGTTGCATTTGCAATCTTCATTTTCTTTAAAATCTTTTTGGGATCACAGTGCTCTTCTGTTAACTTTGGCAGTCTTAATTCACCTGAAGCATTATCCAATAAATAGACATTATAAATAACCTCCCATTTTGCTTTGATACAATCACCATCTTGCTTCCATACCAAATTTTTTGTTAGCAAATTATTTCGTATACCCTTTATTAAATAAGGCGGATCATACATATATATGATATATAACATTCTTTTCAATGTTATAGCATTTCCCGATTGGATATTCCTGTTCATTTAAGGGGAGGTTCCCGTCCAAAGGCAATAAAAATGCTTCAATTTCCGGATTTTTTTTTGAATACAAAATAAATTATTTTGCGAAATTTTTTTTTATGAGTTTAGTTTATATATAAATGAAGTATTATGTTGAATTGTTTCGTAATAAAATAATTGAAAATGGCGGCTCCAGATCTCGTCAAAGAAGTCCGCTCCCGGCGCGATGTGTTGTGCGCGGCACCTTCTGCAGCCTCGCCAAGTGATCTGAAATCAAAAAACCAAGAAAAATCATAAAATAGATTAAATTTGTGGGGCCCTATCGGTTTCCGATTTTTAAAAAAGCCCTTTCAATCAAAATGGCGGCCGTTTGCAAAAAAACTCATTTTCTCATGCTTTTTTTGGGCTTCAACTTAAATAAAAATATATTTACAATAATTTTTTTGAAAAAAACGCTCCGTCAGGGCTCCCCAAATTTAATTAGCTTTAATTTGAGAGGTGAAACTTTGCAATCGGTGCATTCCTCGAAGCTCTAGAGCGTACCGCGCGTCGAAAAACATTGTTTCGAGAAAAACGCATTTAAAGTTTTATATAGTAAAAAATTGTAAAAATGTAGTAAAAAGTTAGTTTTTGACAACTTACTCTAATCAGCTATTCCAGTACCATACAGAATTCCTTCTTCTTCTTCGAAGAGCGCGTTACTTTCAATCTCCAAGGTCATTTTTTCAGTTCTTGCTCGTTTTGCGTGTTCCGACAATTTTTGCTCCCCTGCCGTGATGCGTTTGTCGTCCGTTTTCTCGGCGAAGCTCCTGCTGTAGTTACCAATAACGATTCCCAGTGTATTCATCGTTCTCAAAATTGATGAGCAGCCTTCATTGAAGATACCAGCAGCTATATATGCTGATATTTGAATCGTTTGTACACCGCAATGAGTGTGTTTAGGAGAAAGTTTCCAAATGATGGCGTTAAAACTTTCATTATCATTTTGTGTGTTTCCGCCGGTGCACCTTTGTAATAAGTCGTCACTCGAAAGAGCCTCATACACCGGTCGAATGGCTTTTTGGACAGATTCTTGAAGGGCAGGTTCATGGTGGAAATCGTTGAGTCCCGTAGCTTCGGCGACACGCCACTTACACCAGCTGTTTCCTCCTCGCGGGCAGTTCTCGTGCTTCGGTTCGTCGTCTGTGGAGCATTTATGATGGAAAGTTGCCCATACAGCCTTTTTCATTTCCTCGGCTGAATCGGGGTGTCTTCGGATGGCAAGACCGTAATACAAAGTTAAATTTTTGATTAGTTTATCTGTTAACTTCCCAGAACCTTTGCCTCCGATTCCTTTACTTCTTTTTTTAACTTCGCGCAGCCGAGAACCCATGCGCTTTTGAACATGCCCTATACACTCTTTTTTTTTCACTGTAAGGTCATCGTACGGATCGCATTGTAGGAGAGCTTTGAATGTTTTGGTGTCTCCATCACCAATCTATGTCTCGTATTTCACGCCGAGTTCATTTGAACGACAAAACATTTCTTTCATCGAATCTACCTCCATCTTGCCAGCACTTCCAGTGTGATTTATGCAGCAATTTTCTTCATGACTTTCGAGCCACGTATCGTACTCCACAGTTCCTTTTTTTGAGGCCCAGTTGCTGCAACTTTGGCAAAATGAAGATTTTACCACAAAATCTATAATTTTATGAGTGTATTTGCCGATCAAAGTTGTAACCCCGAATAGTGAAGAAAACCCACGTTTCTTCCATGAACCGTCTCCAGAAACACTCAGATGTGTTTTTACATTTCGTGCCTTGACGTTCAACTCCTTTTCTTCATCAACTGCTTTTCGTTGAACCATTTCAAACGTGCTCTTTGATGCCCCCAGTAGATTCTCTATGAAAGTGTAATATGCACTTTTGCCAAAACCGGTAGATAATTCCATAAGCGAACAAAACGTGTTTATCGAATGCATCCCAAGTCCCAAAAGGCGCATAACAAACATCAGTCGGCGATTTATTTCGTACGAAGTATTCACTGACGGACTCGAGGGAACGCGGCGTTTATTTTTGCATGAGCACGTCAAAAGTAAATTGAAGCCGAGTCCACGTTTGCACGTTTGGGTAAATATTACATCCCCGTCACATTCTTTACATTTTAAGCATTGCGATAAAAAGTTAAACACTGTTAAAAAGTCGATAATAACGTTAGTATGGCCAACATCGATTTCGATATCATCGTAACTCGCGTTCTTCAATTTCTTAGCGGATGTGCTGACAAATTCTTTTTCATTTTCCATTTCCTCTGGATCATAACTGACTTTCTTTTTCCGCGGCCGAGCAGGATGCGCTCTTCCCGGTAAACATTTTCGCGTGTTCGGCATTTTCCGGCACGTCGTCGCACGAGTAAAACTACGTTTTAAAAGAAACGGTTGCACACAACTAGTAAACTCGCCTATCAGGAATGTTGTTATGAAATCAACTTGTGTCACATTGACGTTTGAACTTTTGTTATTCAAAAAATACGCACTACTTAGATTGACACTTTGTACCGAACGCAAGCAGCGAATTTATTTCGCACTAGCAAAATGAGACCCCGTCTATCTCGAGAACTACATCATATGTCAAAATATCCTTACTCCCACGTATTCTCAACAACNCCCAATAATATCTAATTCAAAAGTATCTAATTGTATGTGGAAAAGAATCTTGGTCGTTAGTAGTATAGAAATGAGAGTTCTGGAATGGAAGTTAATCCCCCAATCCCCCTGTGACGTCTGCGCATGCGCGCAGGAAGTGGCGTATCATGTTGGTTGCCTGGCTCGTGGAGCGCCACCTAGTGGTGGATAGCGGAACTAACCTAGCGGTGGGTGGTGGAACTAACCCTATGTTGGTTGCCTACTTCATGGGACGCCACCTAGCGGTGGATGGTGGAAATAGCGTCATGGGGCTCCACCTAGCGGTGGAACTCGCATGGTAGATAGACGACGCGCACGGTGGATAGTTCATGTGGAAATTCATGTGACGTTATAGAATTCAGATACAATTAATATAAAAAAGGTTTCGGTGGTGTAACTTAACGGAATATACATAATACTTATTTGTTATAGGAATTGAACTGATAGCTGCAAGGAGAAATCTAGAAACTTTAAAGTCAATAAACCACCGAAACCTTTTCAGTTTAATGCAATTGAACAGAACAAAAATTAAAAAAACAAAAATAAATATTAATTTATTAATTAAAACATAAATTTAATAATACAATAAGATTAATAAACCTCCGCGATACGTTTTGGTAAAAATACGAATAAACCATCCTACAAATCAACAACTGATGGCCATGTAGATGATGTAATCCGCTTGACAGACTTAAATCACATATAATTTATTCACTTCTAATTCAGATATGTTCTTCTTCGGGACAAATTGATACTGCTCTATAACTGATTTAAACGTGACATACTAGCTTGAGTTGCTTTATAACGTCAGCGAGCGGTGTGAGCAGTAGTAGAAGGTAACAACTGACTTCTATATGAAAATGTTAACCGTTTATACTATCGGGAACAACCTTGAAAAAAGTTAGAATGCGTGTTGCGCAACAACAATAACTTAAACGTTTATACGTAATTAGACGAATATAAAGTTGTTATAGAATGCAAATAATATATTATGCATTTTATTTTCTCGAATCTTCGCCGCACCTTGATTTATTGACAGTGTATGCAAATAGAAATGCAAATGAAATAGAAATTTAAAATGCAATAAAATAAAGTTGACTATAATACCTGCCTGTAAAAATAAACATCACAAGGTTGTACTAATGGTGTATATTTTGTGGTAATAAACTTAGTACTACATGTTGACAAACGCTTATCATCAACAAAGCTTTGGTCGTATATTTCTGGCTTCGTTTGCCCTCCCCAAAGAATCAACAAACATGCAAAACTTCTGGTTTTTTACATATGGCTTTATAGCTTTTATTAAAAAGTCTTTATAGAGGTTAGTTGTTAGTTTTCCCGATTTTGACAATGTTACGGTGACGTTGTTATATGTTTTGCCGTATTCGTCCACTAACTTTTGCACTCGAGGCCCGAAAGCATCTCCTGGTTCTTGTAAACATACAAATACTACTGGTAACAATTTTCCAGCTAACGTAATGCTATATTGAGCTGTATACGAGTGAGTTGTTATTAATGTGTTGTCTTTGAATAAGAACTGCTTTTGATCCTTTTGTTGCGAGGGTAAATAATTTTAAAAGTGTTGTATTTAATAAATATTCTTGTACTATATATTAATTATAAAAGGTTTAAACAGGGTAAATTAAACAGGTATTAATTGTAAATACCTGTTTGATCAGTATTGATCATATAATTTGGCCTGTATGCGAAAATTTTCCGCAGAAGCTAAGATTTCCTCCATAGACGCTGTTTCTTTTTCAGATATATATTTTGTTATTTTTCGTTGATGAATGTATTCGTTTGAACTTCTCGACCCAAGAATTGGAAGCTTTGAACTCAAAGTTGGGTTATTGACTTGCAGCGGATAATGCCCATTGTTGCAAATTTCTTGTCGTCACTTGCTGATTCACTTGACGAGCTTCTTTAAATCGATCGTGTGTCCGTGAGTCGATAATCGAATATTTACTTCTCCCCACCTTCTCCTAAACTTGTAAATCAAACTTCTTTTTAATCGCCGACATCCGTTATTGTGTAGAGTTTTCAAACTCCAATTTGGCTGAATATTTGCAGTGTTAATTACTTTTATTTTGTAATCTATTGGAATCAGGTTCGTCACATTTGAATGGTTTACCTGTTTCTATTAAATAAAATAAAATAAATAAAATTAAAAAAATATACATATTTAATTTTCATTTTTTATAATTACATATTCACAAAAACATTAAATTTTTCCATTGCTGCACTGATATTAGGACAGCGGCTAACGTGACTATTCATTGCTCTGGGATGTTAATAGCTATAAGGAACGTTTTCTCCATGGTCGCCGGTCGTCGACCTACAAAAAACCTACAACGTTTTTTAAATCTGTATGTTTTCCTTACGACGACTTAAGGTCCACATTGCTTACGTTTGCATCGTAAGTATCGGACGCATCGCATCAAACGGATTATTTTTTTACAATGCGTGCACAGTATCAGCAGCGCTCGGATTTTCCGATGTAACTATCAGCAATCGGATCGCCGACGGCACTTTCATTCGGATTTTCGTAGTGAAAGGTAGCTTAGTGTTCGGTGGAATGTCCAAGATAATGGAGGAAAACGAAGAAGAAGAATTTGTTGTAATTGCTTGTTTGTTAGCAGAAGAAGAAACAAAAGCTAAATAAGCTAAATCATCTAAAAAAAGAAAACATAATATATGGGTACACGACATATTTAAAAAGAGATCGCAACATGGAGAATATTACACACTATTTCCTGATTTGCTAAATGATGACGCCAAATTCTTACAATATTTTCGTATGTCTCAAACTTAATTTACTGCATTTGTTGACATCCTGAAACCACATTTATTAAGGCAAAATACAACATATCGGGAGGCTATTAGGTCCAGAAGAAAGGCTTGCTGTTTGTTTAAGGTATTTATTGAAATTAAACAGCGAATACATAGTATTCATTTAAAACGTAAATACTGACCAAGAATCAGACTATTTTGATTTTCTGAATGTGAATGTTCCGTATTGCTAAGATTTTCGTAGGAGGACAGCATACGTGGAGTTTCGTTAGCGGGTTAGTTTATGGCAGGGCTTAGAGTCACTCTAATATCGTGCATGTTGCGAAGCCACAACACCATTGGTCGAAAAAGTTGATTCATCAATAAACATTATTTCCTTATGAAATTCCCTTTCCATACTGCCAACCCACAAACAAAAATCCAAACGTTTTGCTTCATCGCCGACGTCCAAAACATGATTAAAAGCTGACTTGTATGGATGTATCTTGTTGTGTTTTAATATCATCTGAATTTGCGACTTTTTAACAAATTGCAGATTTTCAGCTCTTATTCTTAATGATAATTTCGGGTGTTCCTCTACTGAATGTAATACCAACAAAGTGCTTGCATCAATTTCATCGTATCTCTTCTCTTCTCTAGGTATTCGCAACAATGATTCAGTGCTTAAAACCTTCAAAATTATTTTACGGCAAGTAGTCTCAGACCTCTATGCTACGCCAGAAGGTGTAGGGAAATTAACAGACAAGGATTCCTTTGTGATTACTTGTGGCGTAGCATAGAGGTCAGTGCAACCGTCCGGCAAACGGGAGACCTAGGTTCGAGTCCCGGCGCTGCTAAATTTTCCTTTCAGTTATTCCTGTCCTTAACGTGTAAAGGTGTCCTTCCTTCTGGTTGTGTTCCATTTATATGTTACTTACACGTTTATATTAATTCCACTTATTGTTTTAAAAAAAGTAGGCCGATATTTTCGAAAATTGGTACCTACCTTTTACTACCTTTTACTTTTGAACAACTTTTCCTAGAAGCTTATTTCCTTGTCTACTCAAATAAATGCACTTTATTCTTGTACCATTTAAAGCTTTTTCAATTTTCTGAACACCGCGTATAAAATATGTTAAATGTTTCTATCCAAATCTTACTCTAAGAACTAGCAAAATTTTTTATCAAAATTAAATTTTTCGATAAAATTAAAAATAAAAAGGTTTTTCCTATTCAACACCTTTTCCGTGGACATACTGTACATGGCAAAGTATACCAAAAGCGTTTTCTGTTACTCTTCTAGCCCGAGATAGTCTGTAATTAAAAACTGCTTTCTTTTTGTCCTCTAAGGCTAGGTACATAGTCTCGACAAAGTCGCGGCGACAATGTCGTGTCGCTGTCGCTAGTAATTGAAACTGTCCGCGACACGACATTGTCGAACAAATTCGTCATGTAGTGCAGTTTGTTGGCAATTCAAAGATGGATTTCGTTGATGATGCTTGTGTAGCATTACTAGCTGTCAGACATTTAAGAAAGAAAAGAAGACAGAGGAGATATTCTGTTCATCCAATAAATAGAAATAGATTTACTAACGGACAGTTTCACACGTTACATATAACATTACGCGAGAATGAAGATAAGTTCTTTGCTTATTACCGTATGACACCTAGTACATTTGATACATTATGCAATAATGTTAAAAATACGGTCTCAAAGAAAAATTGGAATATTATGCAAAGAATAACTGTTCAAGAAAGGGTAGCAATAACACTCAGGTAAGTAATAACGAAAGCATTTATTAAATATTATTATAAATGTGTGTACATATCATATATATCGGAATCCATTGTCGACGACGCAGCTGGACTAGGAGATTCAAAATTTTGTGATGAATGGCCTGTAGATTCACAATTAAAGGGNAACTTTTTACCAGAGCCGACTGTTTTACCCTGGACTGATACTGTTCTACCTCATGTCATTCTCTGGGACGAAGCATTTAAACTAACTGAAAATGTTTTACGACCTTATCCTAGAGATCAAGCTAACGCAGACAGAGAGAAGAAAATATTTAATTATCGTCTGAGTCGAGCCCGAAGAACATCGGAGAATGCGTTCGGCATTTTACGTCAAACTTTTCGGATATTTTATACACCTATTGCAACTTGTCCAACGCTCGTAGATGATATTGTCATGGTTTCATGTTGTTTGCACAATTTACTCAGAGGTTCACGTACAGCTACTCAAGAAGATGATATTGATATTGTAATGCCCAGCGAAAATATGGTACATTTACGTTACACAGGTGGGAATACCTCAGGAGCAGCATTTCAAAACAGAAATGCTTTTAAAGGTTATTTCAATAGTAGATTGGGAAGTGTTGGGTGGCAAATGAGGCACATTACTAGAACTGATATTCAGTAGCGTTTATTAATAAAACTAATACAAACAAATACAAGCTTTATTGTCTTAACTAAAAAGTTGTGGTGCTGAATAAATCAGCACAGTCTTCGTACTATCTCGGTTGCTCAACGGAACTTGGTGTCGCGTAACTCGAGTCTGTATAAGCTGTTGTAGCATCAGAGTCTCGCAGGAGTATACGATGGAGTAGAACTCAAAGGACCGGTAGGGACAGACACTCGGTTTAGGGAGCCATACGATGATGTAGAACTGATTCTATAACTTTCCAGCTCTAATTCACTTATTACTTCCATTACTCGCATCTTAGCCCGAGCAGCTAGCGCTGGTGGAAATGTCATGACAGTTTCTGCCATACTCGCAAAAAATAATTTTATCGGATGAGGCTTTTCTTCAATTGCCGATTCCAATTTCTTAAATAGATCTCTTTTCCATCGCGTCCCATAATTCTTCGTTACTTGTTTTTCTTTTTCTTGTTGGCATGTCCTGAACTGACTCCACTATGTTGTCTCCACACTGACAATCTTGAAATTTTGGCATTTCGTCCACTGTTTCAGTGTGTTCCGGTGCCTCCAATTCTGTCGTTCCGTCTCTTTTTTCCAAGATATCGTCATTAGTTACATTGTGTACTGCTTGCGCTGAATTATCTTCCTCATTTGCAGTTACGTTGGTTATGGTTCTAAAAACAATGATGAAGAAAAGCTAGCGCATCCATATGTTCCCATTTGATGGTTCGTCTGGCTGCTGAACCTGTTCCGTGTTTGCTTTCTTTTTTGTTTTTCCAGTAAACATCTTTCAAACTTTTCTATCTCTTCTTGCACTCCTCCACTTAAATATAAAGCACATATATTTTTAATTTGTCATCGTTTTTTGATCCACCAAATACTAACCACTTTTGCTTACCACCTGTGAAATGTTCTCCCAGGTATTATCTCGTACATTTTGATGCTTATATAGATTATGTTTAGGGTCGTAGATGGCAGAATGCTGAGCGACTTCATTAATCAGAGTTTCATCTTCTTCTTTTGAAAATCGTAATCTGTGACCTTTATTATATTTCGCCATATTTTAATAATTTGTTCGGCCTGCCGACACTTGACACTACACAGAACTGCAGGTATAGCGATTAGCAAAACGCGCGCGTTTAAGTTGCCTCCGAAGCAAGTCGATTGTGAAACGCGGCGTCTAACTAAAACGTGTAGCAATTTGTCGCAGAAAATAGACCGCCTACGTGCATATGCATATGCAGCAACCAGCGCGTCTTATCGTTACGTTTAGTCGTATCGATCGCTGCAGATAGACCGTACCTTAAAACTTGTTTTTTTAGGTAAATTTTGATGAGATATTTATCAAGTTTAAACGCATCATCTCCAGCAATAACATGCGGTAAAATCACATTTTTTGAACGGGGAAGTAACGTAGGTGGAGGGAAATTGAATTTTTCACAGTAAATTTGATGTCCAATTCCAGATGTTGAAAAAATACCTGCATATCACCCCCTTTCCCATATGATCTAATGTCCACATAAAGAAATTTATAATTAGCATCAACAAAAGCTAACAGCACTATTGAAAAATTACTTTTATAGTTAATAAATAGGGAGCCGCTCTTATCTGGACACATCATTCGTACGTGTTTTCCGTCGATGGCTACGATAACGTTAAAATTCCAATTCCAAAATTCCAACGATTCCAAAATTCTTCAGCCTTTCCTTTTAAATCAAGTTCTGAAGGATGTGATAGTAGAATTGGCATTAGTTTTTTACACAAACACGCTGTTTAGTCCGCGCTAAACCATTTAAATTTTAAATATTATTCTTTGTATTTCAATGCATTACCGCTTTCGCACTCCCACCTACGCATTATTATCTCCGCACATTAGCTTAAGGCCGCGTTTATATTGGCGAGCGATTAGCGATGAGCGGTGAGCGATGAACGTTGAGCGTTATAACGATGAAGTGTGTATATTAAGCAGAGTCGTAGCACAGCTTATTTAGTATCAGTCCCGTGGTAAACATGCTGCCGAAGTCAGTGCGTTTGCTGTGGTTATTAGAAAATCCTATTTTATTTAGAAAGATTATATTAAGGAAGCGGAAGAAAAGAATTGGAGTGCATTACCTAAACAGAACTCGTTTGACAAACGGTGAATTTCACCAACTGTACTATGATCTACGAAGAGATCCGTCTAAATTTTTCGAATTTTTACGCATGTCTATTGACACTTTCGATTATATTTTGATACGAATTAAGGACAGGCTTCGGAAGAAAGTAACTAATTTTAAGAGACCCATATCTCCAGTAGAAAGGCTTTATTTAACATTAAGGTAGGTACACAAAAATAGTGACAAGTACACTAATATTTATTGCATAAAATTAGATGTATAGAGTAATTCTGCAGACCCAGAATCTTCTATTGTTATATTTTCACGGGTCAAGCCGAAACATGCTATAATTTTCGTCACATTGACTAATTGGTTGATATTGAATACCTTTTCCCACTGTTAAATTTTCGCCAGAGTTTGTATGTAATCTAGGCTGGGATCGTACTTGATCGAAGTTTTCATTTCCGTAAAGTTGAAGATTTGTGTAATTTTCTTGACGTTGAACAGACTGCATAGTGTTTTGTTTGCGTCGCACGGCCTCGGTGATAACTTCTTGTATTTTTGCTCGCACTTCCAATTTTTCTAAACAGTCCATGTCCGTAAAATAGGGCAGCAGACTCATTAAAAAATGATAATCGGGGTTACCTGTCATATCAACATCTTTCTTAAATTCCTGCTCTAATAAATCTAGTTTCTTTTGCTCTAATTCCAAGTAATGTCTGTCGATTTCGTTTTGTGCAGGTCTTTTCTTATTACGACATGTTGGTGTTGCGAATGTCTTTCTTTGCGTTGTACAAGATGAAGGACGTGAAGAGCTAGTTGATGGTGATGAAGGTTCATGTTGTATGGTATCTGACTCTTCATTATTAACGTTTTCTGCAGTTTGTTCTTCATCCTCACTATCGGTGTTCTCGGGTTCCTTCGAGAGGTTGCCAGTTGTTGTACTTGGAAGCATGCTATCTTTTACAAATAGCATCATATCAAAAAATGGCCATTTTGACTTATAATTGTCATTTTCTGAGCCGGAGCGTTTTTTCGGAATTTTATGCAGTTCAACCCGAAACTTATCTTTTAAATTTTTCCACTTCCCCTTCGCAGCTTGTCCTGGAAAGAATTTGTATTTAATTAGTTGTTATGATATTTCAGGTTCTTGTCTACAGGACTCTCATTCCGAAATTTAGCAACAACTCTGAGAATGGGAGTTTGTACCGTTAGCAAAATTGTTCATGAAACATGTGAAATAATATGGAATGAATTTGTTGACGAATTCATGCCAGTTCCTAGTCAAGAGCAATTACAAACTGTAGCAGAAGGATACTACAGACGTTGGAAGTTTCCAAATTGCGTAGGGTCAATTGACGGCAAGCACTGCCAAATAAAATGCCCACCAGGAAGTGGTTCTCGCTATTTTAATTATCTGAAGTATTTCTCTGTGGTCTTACAAGCAGTAGCTGATGCTGACAAAAAATTTATCACAATCGAGGTTGGCGCCAGAGGAAAGCAAAGTGATGGCGGAATATTTTCATCTTCGCAACTCTTTAATCTACTTGAAAATAAGGTATTTAATATGCCGCCAGACAGAGAACTATTTGGTACAAACATTAAAGTACCTCATGTTTTAATTGGTGACGAGGCATATCCGTTGAAGACTTATTTGATGAGACCATATCCTTCCAGAAATCTCGATCCCGTCAAAGAAAACTTCAATAATCGCTTGTCAATAGCTAGAAAATGCATTGAATGTGCTTTTGGCATACTACGTGCTAAATGGCGTATCTTGGGCAAGGATATCGAAGTTAGCCCAGAAAAAGCGGCAAATATAGTAAAATGTACGTGTATTTTACATAATATTGTGAGACATCGAGATGGCAATAGTGACTTACATTACTGTCAAGAGGTGGTACATTATTTTCCAGAAAATCAGCGTGAAACAGAATGGTTGCCACCTCCTCAAGAAGGACACGGAGGAGCTCGTAGAAGTTCAGCACGAGCGAAACAGATACGAGAATCTTTTGCAAATTACTTTGTAGATTTTTGAACGACAAAAAAATATACGTGTATACTTGTACATTTAAGTGTTTTTTGACTAACCTGATAATCCAATACATGTGCCAACATCTCCCCATAACTTTCTTGTTATCTCCGTTTTTTTGTAATCTGGGTGTTGATCATTCCATAGTACCGGTTTTGTTTGCACTTCCGAAATTAATATTTCACGACAACTATTCGAAAATTTTGCTTTTGAACACATTTTTGCGAAAAACTTCAAAACAAATAGTCACATAACCTCAATACGTGCTGCGACCGCTTGTATCTATCGCTCATAATTCAAGTCGTCTTGAATGCAAATGTAACGCACATCCACCGCTTAGCGTTACCGCTCATCGCATTGGTTTAATATACACAGCACTGTTGCATTTGCAGGTACTTGAATTTTTAAATACAACGCTCATCGCTAATCGCTCGCCAATATAAACGCGGCCTAAGAGATCAGTACCTCTTCCCCGCATTTCGTTTGTGCGCATTCTTGCATACAATTATATTTTCTTCTTCCTTTTCGCTAGCCATTTTTGTTACTCATTCGTTTATTAACATTTTCCTTTTGTTGTTATATTTTGGTGTGTAATTAAACTCTTGTTATATCAATTTTATTGGTTTTTTATTCTTTATTTTTTTTAATTACCGAATCGGCACCGGTTTTTATTGTTACCGTTATGGCGGAAACACACGCTGATGTAGCTGTGGGAGATTCGAAACGCAAATGATATAGATCTGTAAGACAATTGCAAGAAACCTGTAAAAACAATTATGTAAAATAAATAATATTAATTTGATAAAGTTATTTAAAATAAAGTCTATGATATCTTTGTGGCACAAAAACGTGAACGTCACATTTCTTTTAATTAATTCTTTAATGTCAATTCTAATGTCATTTCGGTTCGAGGATAACCATACATTTCTTTAAGTGAGTTAAAAATTTGATCTTTAGTTGTTAAATTTCTACCAGGTATTACTCTAAGCGGCTCGCCTTCGAGATGAGTTTTTATTATATCAGTTAAAAATGCCTCATCCTGATTAGCCTTATGCCTATCATAAAAATTACCACAAATCGAAAGAAAAAGAGGTAATTCTCTAGAATCACCGGTAAATTTTAACTTTTAGAATCAAACTTTAGATTAATAAAATTTATTTTAATCTTAATTTACAGAAGAAATAAGATCTTCATTCCTTTGTTCTTTTGTTCTTTTTCTTATCAGCTGGACTGCTTGCTGACGTTTGGCGTTGGTTGGGTGCGGTTTCTTTGTTTTGCGTCTTGCTTACGTTGGGCGTTTCTTGGGTGCGGTTGCTTCGTTTTCTTTCCCCAGGGTTGAGGGTTGAGTCTTCTTGTCAATTTTCCTTTGTCGTCTGGTAGGTTTTTCTTTTACCATGCAAACCGTTGATACGGACCTCCCAAAAGATGTGTTTTTGTGAATCAATGATATCCTGCTGACTGCGCCAGTTTTGTTGTCTCCGCGTGAACTGACAATTCGACCCAAGTGTTTCCCAAATAAAAGATTAACAGAATTTGATGTAGCCTTTTTATTTAAAAAATCACTTCCCCTTTTTATATAAGTTTAAACTTAAATTTACTAGACGACGGTTCGGTAACAACTGCTCTTAAAAACTACGAAGAATTGCATAAGGTAACTTGATACTTAATACGATAATAAATTTAATGCATACTACGGGAATGCACTTGATGCATTCGACGGTCGGAATTAAAACTAAGAAAGAAATAATTGTCGCAACATAACACGCGTCCCGTATTTGTGTTTTGAAGATAATAAGATCTGTAATATTAGCGAATTACAACGATAAAAGTAGGACACGACGCTAGTCATTTTCGAATTTATAGGGACTATTTACGGCAACTGAAACAACCATTTCTAAATTTCTTTCCGTAAATGACGTCCTTGGTGATGTAAAAATGCTGTTAAATTTTGAAAATGTCCGTTCCGCATTGCAACTGGTTAATACAGCATAATTAAAATATGGACGTAAAGTTTCATACTTAAATTTCTGTTCTTCACTTATATTTTGTTTTGCAAATTGTTCTAAAATGTTAAATCTGGGTTCCGATTAAGTACGTCCCGAATTTTATGATTAAATGATGTACAGAATTCACCTGGAAATTATTTCAGTTCCTCCTAAGGGAAGCCTAAAGTATTCACCGATTCTTCAATCAAAAAGGCTTGTTTTTGAAAATATTTTATTTTGCTCCTGCAAATCTGGCATTTCAATCAGTTCTTTACATTGTATAATGCTTGTGGCATCATTTTCGAGCTGTAAAATGCAGTTTGTGACGGTTTCAAAATAATCTGCACAAAAAATGCAAGCTTCAATCCATGTTCCACAAGGAGTGATTACGGTGTAATGGTTGGTGATGATGGTGTAAAATGATAGGATCTCCGGGTTAGAATAAACGCATAATAGCTTCTCTTAATTACTGCATTTATTGACAACACTTAAGTTACACGACCTTTCAGTAGCTTGAGCATACTCTCTTTCCGAGCGATGACCGCCGCTACACAATACCTAACGTGCGTGATTTAGTGCTTACTATTAACTATCTTAACCTACTTAACAATTTGTTATTATTCCACTACACCTCCTAACCGCTCGAAAAAAAAATTTTTCTTATAGACTAATTTTTTTACTTACTTCAATACATTTACCATTAACATTAATTTATTTATTTATTTAAATGGGACGCAAACAGAGTTAACTCCCAGCGAAGCGTCCACTATACAAATTAATGACGGATTGTCGGACTTAATTGTAAATTAATGATTTGAGAAGAAAAAAACAAAATAAAACAAAACAAGAAAAAAATGTAGTACTAACAAGAAAAATTAAATTCTAATGACCTGAGACATTAACGCCCACGCCACGCAAAAACCGCTTAAACGCAGCCAGTGAGGTGTTGAACATATCAATATTTCCACAGTGAGAGTCAAATGAATGCATTAATCTCTGAAGAGGTGAATTGAAGTAGGCATTTGTATTCGAACGGTCAAGTCTAAACATCAGACCACCCCTAGTCCGGTTGGGAGGAACGTAAAAACGTAACCCACCAACCAATTCAGGCGAATTAATGAAGCCATTGCAAAGTTTAAAAATAAACAGTAAATCGTAACACAGCCTCCTCTGTTGCAGTGTTTGAAAACCCAGCACCCTGCACCGCATAAAGTAATCGCAATAAGGTAAATTTGTTTTATAAGATAGGTATCGCAAAAAACGACGTTGAACTGCTTCGATACCGTCAATGTAAACGTGGTACTGGGGATTCCAGACGGTGGACACATAGTTAAGTACACTGTTCACGTGCGTTAAATACAGCAATCTGATGCAATTAATATCTGTGAAAGGGCGGCAGGTTCGAATCACGAAACCCAACCTCTTCAGAGCTTTGGAAATAACGGATTCCACATGTAAATTAAACGATAATTTGTTATCAAGAGTAACCCCCAGATCGCTAATACGATTTGAATTTAATTACTACATTTGGTGAACTAACTTTTTTTTTTAATTTTATACGGACCATTATACAATGATTCATACTTTGAACCAGCTTCATTTCGTAATAAAATCTTATCTCCTACCTTATAATCTAATGGATTACTTTTTTGGTCGTATTTTATTTTTCGATTATATTTAGATGCATTCAAATTTTGTTCTGCATCTGCCCAAGCTTGTTGAAGTCTATATTTCAACTCTATTGGGTAATTGTCATAATTGTAAACAGGATCGACACAATCTTTTATGTTTGATGGTAGTACTGCTGATTTTCCAAAAACTAATCATACGAGGTGTATTGCGTTTCTGTATGAACACTGTTATTGTATGAAAAACACCAATACGGTTAACCAATGACTCCACGTATACCGATATTTTGCAATTTGAATACGAATAAATAATGCCCCTAACGACTTATGCGAATTTTTTAAAGAACCTAGCGTTTGATGATGATACGCCGTAGAAAGTAACTGCTTTATCTGAAGAAATTTACAGGCATCTTTTAACGTAGAAGCAATAAATTCAGTACCTTGATCTGATAAAATTTCAGTTGGAATACCATATCGTAATATGAAGGGTATGGGGAAAGAACAAGGTATGTCCTTTACACTAACAACGGAGTAACTTGAATGTTAAAGTTAATTACGCAAACTACTTAGCGATTTGGTTTTGCAGTAACCACAAATAATTCAAATAAATCTTACTATATGTTTATTGTATGTCTCAACATGTAAATACAAATATTTTTCGTCAGTGTATCTGATAATAAAATAATTCGACCCCTATTCATGCGGTAGATCGGTAAAAAACTTAACAGCAACTGGGCCACAGAATTGCTTCAGCACCATTAAATCCTTAAACTTATCTTTATTTACTGGAATAAGATCTGCAACGAATATAAAAAATATGAACATTTATATAATAGGACAGCGACCAATCAAAAAATAAAATTTATACTATTCTTTCTTTTACGAAGTTCAAATTAGGAAACCACAGATGGGTTGGTATCGTAGAGGCAGCTTTGTCTATCTGTAGTTTCCAAATTTGAATTTCGTAAGAGAAAAATTAGTATAATTTTATTTTTTGCTTGGTCGCTATCCTATTAAAAATATGTTTATAAAAAATATGTATTTACCGGTCATACAAGTCAGTTTTATGCATACTCACCATTGTATAGTTTTTCTGGTAATTTGAGTTCATTTGGCAGTAAAGTGGCTGCTTCCATCTGAATTTTCCCCTTTATTACACTTTTTTTCCAAGAATCATTGTATGTATCTCTGTTAAGTATAAATCGACAATGATCGATTGTACAGAACACTTCTTTGGTTTTTTGTACAGGAAATGGATATTTCTGTAAAAACGAAGTCCAGCCCATTACCATATTTTGAGTGACTTCTTCGATAACGAATGACGACGGTTTGGTGCGTGATACCCTTAACAGTTCAAACCAATCATCTGGAGTTTCAATTTTCGTTTTTAAATTTATGTTGCCCATATTTTTGTCGCATTCCAAATATGAATGCCCGCTTTCCGGAAAAGTTATTTTAATGCTGCTTAGTTGTTTTATGTCATGTACTACATAATACATGAACCTGAATACAATAAAATTTTTGTTTTGCCCACCGCCACCGTCACAAAAAATGTGCAAATGCTTTACTGTATCAGGAACATGGTTAAATAAAAAATGTACTAAAAACGATACAACTTCATTGGGGCTTTTCTTCGAGATGGTCTCTCTCTGGATACGTGTAGAAAATAGATTCTCCTGTGTGCAAAACGTGAATATTAAACGAAAACACAATAACTCTTCTTCTAACTCTGTCCACTTCTTGGTTGACATAAGGATAACTTTCACTCATAACCTTTATTGCTTTTATTGCACTTTATCTTCCATTACACAACTTTTCTTCACTCCTCGATGATACTTGAATAGGGACGTGAATAGGGATGTGAAGAGCGTTAAACTTCAGCTCTGGATGCGGCTCTTCTTAAGGTTCTTCTTTTTACATAGTGTGTATAAGCTTTCACCAGGCGTAACACGAAAGTAGATGTTCCTCCTCCTCGTTCAACAAGACAGATAAGAGTTTTGATATCTAGAGGATTAAAACCATACCGCATTACTATTCTGGCTATAGATGATACTCTCCTAGTTATTCTATAAAACGGATTTCCACGCCATCGTATAATTTCATATAAACCAAACAATCTTTTATCTAAATCTATATTAAACAAAGTCTTACTGCGAATATTTATATTGTGATTTACATCTTGTGATATGGGTGTTACTGCATGTTTAACATACGCTGTACGACAAAAAACTTCCCTAGACTTTGGAATGTTATAATTTCCATAGCTTAGTATGTTATTTTCAACGTCAGCTTTTTGCCATTGTTTCCACATCATATAGAAATGTTGTATTTGAGTTTCAATTTTACTTACTGTCAGATATACCGCCCGCGTGTTATAACGATATCATCCGCATGTACAATCTATATAGAAACCGAGAAAGTGTTGCAGTGATCGAATAAATGGGACATTCGTAAGACAGTTTAATTTTATTATTTATCAACGAAACAATTTTTCTTTTTTCAACAGAAAAAATCAGAGTGGTTTATCTGTCCATTGATGGGGCGCGGTGTAAAGACGCTACGACGTTCCAGGGGATCGTCATGGTCGTTGGGGCTGGCGGAATCATTCTCCGGGGGGTTTCTTTCTTTTGTTCACCTAGCTGGATGTTTTTCCGGGCTAGGGCTTCGGCGTATTTGGGGCACGCCGTACAATTGACCGTTACAATTGGTCAGGACACCGGGGGACCATTTTCAATTGTTATTTTGCACCGATTTTGCGCTCTCCGGTGCATTTAACGCAACGCGGTCTCGTATAACAGTTTATGTGGCGTATCCCCATTGCTGACAATTCTTACATGGGATGAGTATCTTTGAGTTCTTAACGTAATCCCGAAACACGTGAGTTCGAAGGATATATCGAACGTTCGTTTCTAGCGTTTTGAGCGATTTGATGTTTTCGAGTGTTACTAGGAACTTTGGAAATTTGGTGCCCCTGATGCGGAAGCACTCGGTGGCAGTGATATCCTATTCAGTTTTGAGATCTTCGCGGATTTTTTCTGGGTCTATTTGCCGAGACAGGCCGCCGATAACAAACGTCTATTGTCTCTCTTCTTTTAGTGTATGGGTATGGATTGCGGTGTTGGAGTCTTTAAGGTTTTGAATGATGGTTTTTCTTTTGGTTGGATCTTTTGTATAGATGGAGCGTTCAGTTTCTGTGTACCGAAGCGTATAGTGATCTTTGCCGATCCATGCGTTAAGATTGTCTGTGATCTTCTAATTTGACAGGCCTTGGATATGCATTGCGATCGGCGGGCACGTAGGTTTTTTGGGAGCGGCGAGTTTTTGAACGGGATAGTTGACGATCTCGGTTGAAGTATCAGTAACTTAGTGGAGTAGTGAATATTTATTTGATATTGGGACTGTTGCTATTATGTTTGTCTGGGTTGTTGATTTGGAGGATGTGGATGGAAGAGACGCGAACCTGAGCTACCTTTTTGTGAAACTTACAATGGCGCAAACCAAATTTTCAGACAGTGTTTCAAAAATTTACAATTTTCAGACACCTCCTGTTGTCACTTTGAATCCAATGGTGCACGTAGAATATTTCTAGTCATCACGGTTTTTGAGTTATAAAGATTTAAGTATTTTAGAAGTTGAGTATTCAGTATTTTAATTGTGATTATTTGAGTAGCTCAGGTTCTCGAAAGCCGCAACTTTCTATCTTTCATAATAACTGAGATACCCTACAAACCCATAGAAAGTTGAACACCCTGTACATTTTGGAAATAAAGATTGTTATATTGTAGAGTCGGATTCTTCATCTGATGTCTGTTCGTTGATTGCTTTGTTTTTAATCAGGTTTTCTCATTTTGAGCCGCAATTTATTTGGAATTATCTCTTATTTTTATAACGCGAAAGTTTTTAATCTTAGAAACGAATTTTTGTCTTTAAAATGGTACTCAGGTACTTTCTAAATGGTCGAATTGTCACGTGCGCACGGTCACTTTTTACAAATTTCGGAGCACTCAAGTGGGAGGGTAAAACACGTCCGCTCGCTACGACGTCTCGAGTGAAATAGGGGAAATCGAGTGGAAATTTCATAACTGTACGAATAGTGGAACCTAAAAAAGTTCTAACAAACCAGTTACGTGAGACAGCATATAAGCGCATATAAGTGCATATAAGCGTAGTTTAACTTATTTGAGCCAAAATTTGGACACAAAGTAAAGCAAACTAGTCAAGCAAGAACTATGACTAGTTATAGAATAGCGCCATGATGAAACTACGATATCCTTTTTGTTATATTTATTTTCAAAGAGTCATATAAACACAGGATAATTACATACATTACATTTTTCTCTCACATATACATTATATAGGTAACATATTATAACAATTTATAAAATAAGTGATTAAAATTTGAATTATTATATATATTAAACTTCGAGAAGGACGAACAATGCCAAATATTGCCGAAAGAACGGCGGTAGCGCTACCCATAGTTGCGATAGGGAACTACATGCTTATTGTTAGATAAATTTATTCCTGTCATGTTACCCCCCTAGTGAGGGGCCACCAATCATTCGCGCTAACTACTGTGCCACAGCCCGCTCCCCATTGCAAATGCACGTTCCTTTATTTTTTGGGAATAGAAGGACACACATCCTGCATATATAAGAAGTAAAAACTCAATAAAGTCTCCATCCAAAAAAAAAATTGTTTTTGTGTCATTATTGACCCAGTCTTGGTCGTACAAGGGTTAAATGGTATAATAAAATAATTATTCTTACCTATTGTGTGAACGCATGGTGCATTACTTTTTATATTTACACCGCTAACGTGTTGGTTTAACCCAGTGGTCGGCAAACTTATTAGCCAAAGAGCCAAATATGAACATTACAAAAATTTTAAAAATAATTGGGAGCCAAATCTGCTTGTTTAGTAAACTTTTATTACACTAAATAAGTAGTACACTAAATAAAACTAAATTTCATACTTAATAAATATTTATTAATGCGAACAATGTGCTTGCATCTCCTTGGAAAGTTTGAGTAAGTCAGGTTTGTATGTTGTAGTTTTTAATTTTAGGCATGATTCCAAGTTCTTATCAATAAGACTTCTCAGTTTACTCTTGATAATGTTCATGCTTGAAACAGATTGTTCGCATATACAGGGTGATTCATAAGTAATGGGCCAAATTGTAAATGTACGTTCAGGAGGCCAAAATAATAATATTTTCATTAACAATAATGGGTCTTAGTCTGCTCCTTACTGAGATACAGGATGTTAAAGCGAAAAAAATAAAATAGATTTTTGTTAATAGATCAGCTACTTTTCTACATAATGACTCATAGTTGACTTATAGTTTTTGTAAGGGTAAACAATAATGTGTGAGAGGATTTGAGTTAACTCGTAGATGTCGCCACATGCGCCATATGAATTATGAAACGTCAATGAGCTTTTACGTTTAATGAATAGTTTAAAACATTTTATTGTTAAGTAAACTGATTCATTCTTGTCCTAACATAAATCAAAATGCCGAGACATAATCACTTTTCAAACGAAGAAATGAGAGACATGTTATGCGTTTACGCACAAGAACGTTTTTCTGGGCAAGCAGCATCCAGAAAATATCGTGAAATGTACCCTTACAGAAGGCAGCCAAACCGGAAGATATTTCAAAATATTTATAATCGATTGGGTGAAACAGGTTCATTTCGTCCAAAATATCATACAGGACGTCCTAAGATTATCACTCCGCAGCAAGAAGATGAAATTTTGGTAAGAATTGCGCAAAATTCTGAAATAAGCACTCGTCGATTGTCTGCAGCAACTGGAATAAGCCAACCATCCGTGACTAGAATTTTACACAAGGAAAATTTATATCCCTATCATTTTATACCTGTGCAAAATTTACTTCCAACAGATTATCGAATCAGAGTTCAATTTTGTCAGTGGCTAAAAGGAAAATTGAATAATAATCCAACATTCCTAAATAACATTCTTTTCACGGATGAAGCAACCTTTACCAGACGCGGAGTTTTTAATTGGCGAAATAGTCATGCCTGGGAAACCGAAAACCCTCGTTTAAAAAAAGATAGACATTTCCAGCACGAGTTTAAAATAAATGTGTGGTGCGGTGTAATAGGCAATACATTACTGGGCCCAGTTGAATTACCTCCTAATTTAAATGGAGAGTCATATTTAATTTTTTTAAATAATGACTTAGTCGACCTCTTGGGAGATCTTCCATTACAACTAAGAAGAAATATGTGGTTCATGCAAGACGGTGCTCCTCCACATTTTTCACGTGCTGTGCGCGAACATCTGAATGAAACATTCCCTCACCGTTGGATTGGACGTGGTAGTGAATTTCAGTGGCCACCTCGCAGTCCCGATTTTAATCCACTTGATTTTTATGTGTGGGGTTACATGAAATCAATGGTCTATGCTGAACCTACTATAAATACACGAGACGAGTTATGGAATAGAATTCAAGATGCAGCCAATTCAATACGAAATAATCCTGCTACATTTTTTAAAGTCAGACAATCCTTAACCAAACGGTTAAATGCGTGTATAAATGCTGGTGGTGGTCATGTTGAAAACCTTTTGCAGTAGCTCATAATTAAGCTTAAATTTAATTTAACTTCGCACAACATTAACATGTAGGTTTTGATAACAGTTGTCGTAAGTGGTCTTAGTTCAAGTCTGTTCTAATGTTGTATTTCGTTTTATTAACTGGCGTACAATAAATTGTTTTATTACGTAATTTTTTTATGGTTTCAGTTTAATATTGTTATCAATTATCAATTACGGTTAGGTAAATGTCAACATTCCATGCCATGCTTGTGTCTTAACAGATTAATGCTACGTCGACCACCGTGAAATGTAGTGTAGTGAATTAGTAAAATTCAAATATCTCGAAAATCGTTAATATTTTCAAGATCAAAGAAGTATAGCTTTTTTCTACAGAAATGATGGGGCTATCCAAATTAAACAAGTATGTTGTAAAATAATGAGCGATAAAAAATTTGTAGCTGATTTCATCTAATTCATATGGCGCATGTGGCGACATCTACGAGTTAACTCAAATCCTCTCACACATTATTGTTTACCCTTACAAAAACTATAAGTCAACTATGAGTCATTATGTAGAAAAGTAGCTGATCTATTAACAAAAATCTATTTTATTTTTTTCGCTTTAACATCCTGTATCTCAGTAAGGAGCAGACTAAGACCCATTATTGTTAATGAAAATATTATTATTTTGGTCTCCTGAACGTACATTTACAATTTGGCCCATTACTTATGAATCACCCTGTATATGTAGAACCGAAAAGGGAAAGAACAGCAAACGCGAGTTTTTTCGGCTGATCGTAAGAGTCAGAAATACTATTCCAAGCGTTGAAAATAATCATGTCTTCCTTATCCAGGTAATTCAAGGCAGACCACTTGTGTTGTGAACTAAGATCATATTTTTTCTTCTGCAATATTTCCAATTCAACACAAAGACGTTCGAATTTAGAGCGCCATATCTCCTTGTTTTTTAAATCCAGCAATTGTATTTCAAAGCTACCAATGTCAATTTGAAAAGGAGAAAATTTCAACTCGGTTATCGTAGCATTAAGAGGATTTTTAACAAATGCTAAAGTTGCTCTGCTTTTTATAAATTCCTGGAACCTGCTGAGAAATGCTTCCCTCATCAAAATTATTGTTTTAAAATAGTGTTTATCAATAGAGGAATTAGTTTCTTGGCGATGCTTCAGCAGGCTCGGAAAGTGAGACAATGTTTCCCTTTCAAAATCCTGAGCAAAAATGGATAATTTCGAATGTTATTACTTCTTCTAACATCTAAAAAATTAAGTTTCCTTTCCCTTGTAGTTTACGATTAAGCTGATTTAGATGAGACGTAACGTCTACCATGAAATAAAAGTTTTGGATCTACTGATTTTCTGTTAGTTCTGGATAGTGAACGCCCTTCTCAAGGAGAAATGCTTTAATTTCCGGAAAAAGGGACGCGAAACGTTTTAAAACGTTGCCTCTTGATAACTAACGTACCTTGTTATGAAGCAGAAGGTCAGCGTACTCACTCTCCATTTCAAATAAAAAATTTCTGAATTGGCGATGATTAAGAGCTTTAGCTAAAATGGAGTTGATAATGGTAATCACTAATTCCATAACTTTACAAATTTCATCCGGAAATGTTTGCGCACAAAGCGGTTCTTGGTGAATCATACAATGGTAAACAAGTATCTCGTGATTAATTCTTTCTTTTAAAATAGCAACAAACCCTTTTCTTACGCCGGTCGTACTTTTGGCCCCATCTGTTGAAATCGACACAATTTTATCGAGGGGAATATGATGTTTATCCATACACTCAATTACAGCATTTGCGATATCTTCTCCACGCGTCTGACCTTTGAGTGGCAAAACCCTAAAAGTTCTTCTTTAGGGCCTGAATGAGACATAAATCTTACAAAAAGTGAAACTTGCGCTGTATCATTTATGTCACAAGACTCGTCAACTGCTATTGATAAAGCCGAAACCAATTTCAGATCTTCGA